GCAGATACCTCTCTGGATCGGTGTTTTCATTTTCAGAGTCCAGAGTGCTAACCATTACACTATGGAACCCGCAGTGTTTTCATTTTCTTTGGATAAACACCTAGAGGTACAATTGCTGGATCATATGGTATTTCTGTTTTTTCTTTTTTTTTTTTAAGATTTTATTGATTTGTGAGAGAGAGGCAGATAGTGACAGAGATAGCGAGAGAGAGCACAAACAGGGAGGAGAGGGAGAAGCAGACTTCCCACCGAGCAGGGAGCCCGATGTGGGGCTCAGTCCTAGGAACATGGGATCATGACCTGAGCTGAAAGCAGATGCTTAACCAACTGAGCCCCCTAGGCGCCCCTAGTTTTTCTTTTCTGAGCAACTTCCATACTGGATTCCATGGTGGCTGCACCAACTTACATTTCCGTCAACAGTGTACAAGGGTTCCTTTTCCTGCACATCCTTACCCACACTTGTTATTTCTTGTTTTTTTGATGCTAGCCGTGTGTGAAGTGAAATCTCATGGTGGTTTTGATTTGCCTTTCCCTAATGGTTAGTAACGTTGAGAGTCTTTTCATGTGCCTGTTGGCCATCGGTGTGTCTTCTTTGGAAAAACATCTATTCAAGTACTCTGCCCATTTTTCCATCAGGTTATTTTTCATATTAATTTATGTAAGTTTTTAAAAATATATTTTTATTTTTATTTTTTTTTTAAGATTTTATTTATTTATTTATTTGACAGAGAGAGATCACAAGTAGACGGAGAGGCAGGCAGAGAGAGAGAGAGAGAGAGGGAAGCAGGTTCCCTGCTGAGCAGAGAACCCGATGCGGGACTCGATCCCAGGACCCTGAGATCATGACCTGAGCCGAAGGCAGCGGCTTAACCCACTGAGCCACCCAGGCGCCCCTTAAAAATATATTTTTAATATTATCCCCTTATCTGATATGTGATTTGCAAATTCTTCCATTTGGTAGGTGGCCTTTTCGTTTTATGGGTGGTTTCCCTCACTGTGCGGAAGCTTCTTAGTTTGTTGTAATCCCATTTATTTTAGCTTTTGTTGTTCTTGCCTCAGTAGATTGTGTCCCCCACCCCAAATATTGCTAAGACTGATGCCAAAGCACTTACTTCCTATGGTTTCTTCTAGGAGTTTTATGGTTTTACTTGTTATGTTCAAGTCTTTAATACATTTTGAGTTAATTCTTGTGTGTAGTAAAAGGTAGTGATCCCGTTTCCTTCTTCTGCATGTGGCTGTCCAGTTTTCCCAACACAATTTATTAAATGGACTCTCTTTCCCCTGTTATATGTTCTTGCCTCCTTTGTCATATATTAACGGGGTATATATATGCATTTATTACTGGGCTCTATATTCTATTCCACTGATCTGTGTGGTTGTTTTTATACCAATACCATTCTATTTTCATTATTACAGCTTGGTAATACAGTTTGAGATCAGGGAGCACGATGCCTCCAGCTTTGTTCTTTTTTCTGCAGATTGCTTTGGCTCTTCAGAGTCTTGTGTTATTTTATACAAATTTTAGGATTTTTTTGTTCTAATTCTGTGAAAAATGCTATTGGTATTTTGAGAGGAATTGCACTGAATCTGTAGATTACTTTGGGTAATATGGACATTTTAACAATATTAATTTTTCCAATCCGTGATGATGGTGTATCTTACCATTTTTTTATGTTGTCTTCAATTTCTTTCATCAGTCTCTTACAGTTTTCAGAGTATAGGTCTTTAACCTCCTTGGCTAAATTTATTCCTATGTATTTTATTACTTTGATACAATTGTAAATTGGATTGTTTTTTTTTTTTTTACGGTAAGTTTATTTATTTGAGAGAGGGAGTGTGCACATGTGAGTGGGGAGAGAGACAGAGGGAGAGAATCTCAAGCAGACTCCCCACTGAGTGCAGAGCCTGATGTGGGGCTTGATCCCACAACCCGTGAGATCATGACTTGAGCCAAAATCAAGAGTTGGATGCTTAACCGACTGAGCCATCCTGGTGCCCCTGGGATTGTTTTCTTAATTTCTATTTCTGACAGCTTGTTATTAGTGTATAGAAATACAACCTGCTTCTGTATATTAATTTTGTACCCTGTGACTTTACTGAAATCATTAATTAGTTCTCAGATCTCTTTGGTGGAGTCTTTTGGGTTTTCTATATATAACATCACATCATCTGCAAATAATTTTACTTCTTCCTTTCAGTTTAGATGCCTTTTATTTCTTTTTCTTGCCTAAATGCTATGGCTAGGACTTTTAATACTATGTTGAGTAAAAGGGTCAAGAGTGGGCATCTCTGTCTTGCTCCTTATCTTAGAGGAAAAGCTTATAGCTTTTCACCATTCAGGATAATGTTAGCTGTGGGTTTGTCATATATGACCTTTATTATGTTAAGGTATGTTCTTTCTATACCCACTTTATTGAGAGTTTTTATCATAAATAGGTACTGAATTTTGTCATAAATTTTTTCTGAATCTATTGAGATGACCATATGATTTTCATCTTTCATTTTGTTAATATGGTGTACCACCTTGATCTGTTTGTGGATGTTAAACCATCCTTGCACCCCTGGAATAAATCCCACTTGATCCTTTTAATATATTTTTGAATTGGATTTAGTAATATTTTGTCGAGGATTTTTACATCTATGTTCACTGGGGATACTGGCCTATAATTTTCTTTTTTTTGTAGTGTCTTTATCTGGTTTCAGTATCAGGGTGATTCTGGCTTTGTAAAATGAATTTGGAAGCCTTCCTTCCTCTTTCAATTCTTTTTTAGAATAGTTTGAAAGGATAGGTACTAACTTTTTTTAAATGTTTGATAGGGAGGCGCCTGGGTGGCTCAGTGGGTTAAGCCTCTGCCTTTGGCTCAGGTCATGATCTCAGGGTCCTGGTATCGAGCCCTGCATCAGGCTCTCTGCTTATTGGGGAACCTGCTTCCCCCTCCTCTCTGCCTACTTGTGATCTTTCTCTCTCTCTCTCTCTCTCTGTCAAATACATAAATAAAATCTTAAAAAAAAAATGTTTGGTATGTGGTCTTGGGGTTTTGTTTCTTAGGAGTTTTAAAATTACTGCTTCAGTTTCATTACTTGTAATTGGTATGTTCATATTTTCTGTTTTTATGTGATTCGGTCATAGAAGATTGGGTTTCTAGGAACTTACCCATTTCTTCTAGGTTGTCCAGTATGTTGGTGTATAATTGTTCATACTGATCTCTTATGATTCTTTGGATTTCTGTGGTGTCACTTGTAACTTCTCTTTCATTTCTAATTTTTAAAAGAATTATATATTTACTATTGATGAATCTAATTAGAAGTTTATTGATTTTATTTTTTCAAAGAACCAGGCTTTAGTTTAATTGATCTTTTCTATTGTTTTTAATCTATATTTCATTTATATCCACTCTGATCTTTATTATTTCCTCCTCCTACTAACTTTGGGCTTTGTTCTTTTTCTAGTTCCTTTAGATATAAAGTGAGATTGTTTATTTGGCATTTTTCTTACTTCTTGGGGAAGGCCTGTGTTGTTATGATCTTCTCTCTTAGAGCTGCTTTTGTTGTGTCCCATAGGTTTTGAAAAGTTGATTTCCATTTTATTTGTCTGAATGTAGTTTTTGATTACCTCTGTGAGTTTTCCTTCATCCTTGATTATATTTTTTTTCCTCTCTGTTTACAGTTGATCAATGGGTCATGACCTGAACCTGTGTCATTCGTATCCCCTCCTCCTTCCCACAGCCCACCCTGGCTGGCCCACAACATGGTATGCACGGGGACAGGCCAACACTTTTTATATAATTTATTGTGTATCTAGCCAAGTTATTAGATACAATACTAGTCACAAATACTTAGAAAATTAAAACTTGTAATTGATACCATTTACAATAGCATCAAAAAACATCATAATCTAGGCAAAAATATATTAAAAATATGCAAAACTTCTACACTGTGATCTAAAATGCCATTATGGGAAATTAAAGAAGATGAAATAAATGGAAGGATACCAGGTTTATGGATTAGGAGATGCAATGTATGAAGATATTTGTTTTCCCAAATTGATAAATAGATTAAATGAATTAAATGCAGCCCCAATCAAAATCCCAGCAGGATGTGTGTGTGTGTGTGTGTGTGTGTGTGTGTGTGTGTGTGTGTTTGTAAATTGACCTACAAACCAACAGAACAGTGGGCAAAAAACTTGGGCAGGTATTTCACACAAGTAGTTCCAAATGGATAAATATATGAAAAAGTATGACAAGTGTCTCCTGTATTTGTATATACAGAGAAATGCACATTAAAACCACAATAAGAGACAACTATTCCTTCAGCAGCATTGACTGACAACATGAAATGTTGGAAGGATGTGCAGTGGCAAGACCTCTCTTGCACTGTGGGAGAGGGGGTATTAACTTTAATTTAACTTGTATGCTGAACGTGGGTGTTCTAGAAGTGTGGAACGTAAGTGCTCAACAATTAGAGCATACCTTCGATGAATCATGATCCCAAGTGTCTTTGTGAAGTTTTGCCATCTACCCACTTAGCTATAGAAAGTTCTCTCCTCTCAGTATAGAACTCTGTAAGATCTTGGACAGCTAAAATGTCCAAGAAGCCCCAGATGCATGGAATGCATTTCAGTGAAGCATATGGGATTCGGGTGTTGTGATAAACCTAACACGGAGTGTGTGAATAATGTTCGCAAATAGAGGAAATCACCAAGGAATGAGCAGGTGTCTGTGCTTTGTTTTTTATGATGCTGTTGTCTTTAGGTTAGTTTGTGCTACACTTACGAAACCAAAGATTTCTTGTGCTTGGTGCTAACCATTATGAATGGAGGGGACTTGAAGTTTCACATCCACAACTTGGGCAACCCTGGCTTTGATGAGGAGAGAGCTATTTTCTATGCCGCCGAGCTGTGCTGTGGCTTGGAGGATTTGCAGAGGGAAAGAATTGTGTACAGGTAAGAACAGCATGAACTCCCGGGGCCTGGGAGACTGTTCATCCTGAGCCTGAGGCTCCCACCGGGCTCCCTCCGGCCACCCTGGTGCCTGGGCAGGAGGGCTGTGGTGGAGCCCTTGGTGGCCATACACAGGGTCTGGTCACTCCCACTGTTGGGAATATGGTCAATCAGCAGTGGACCTTGGTTTTCATTTTAGTTCTCTTTGATCTCTAGTAGGTCGGTTTTATTTGTTAAGTTGATCAAATATAGGCAGTGTTATTCATGTAAGCATGAAAAGAGCCCATTTCTAAATAAGTTCTATTTAGGACTCTGGGCTCTATTCCAACAAAATAGTGTAACAATTAAATGTCTCAAAATAATACTTTATTTTAATATTTTGCATCTTAGAATTCACTAAAGAAAATTTAATAGGTAGAATTAAATTAGTATGATCAAATATTTAATTTTAGGGAAAGCAGTCCCTCCAGTCACCCTTTGGGTGTTGAGTTCCTGGGCTCTGACACCTTTCTTGACCCTTCCCTGTGTAGCTCTGTCCCTTCATCTCTGTAAGGACATCTACTTACTGGTGTGGACCATTGCCTATGGCCGTTTCTCACCCTGCCATTTCCCCTACATTCCAAGGGGTCTGTGTATCCCCTGCCCTCACCTGCCCCATCCAGTTGGTCACCAAATCAGACCTTGATGTTTCCCTACATCCAGGTTTTGGGGTCACTGGCTTAGTTCATGTCTTTCTCAGATTACCTGGCAGACAGACAGTTGAATGGTCTCGCTGATGCCAGTCTTGCCCCAGTTCCTGCTCTGTGCAACTGATGACAGGCCTTCCTGTGGTGTGGATCCCATCCTGTCATAGCATCCCTAGCTTGGAGCCCTGTGGGCCTGGCTCTCCTGAGCCCGTGTGGTGCCCCCCCCCCCCCCGCTGATTTCTCCAGCCGGGTGTCCTGCACCCCAAATGGGGACTGTCTGCTTTCGTGATGTACACGTACTTCTTGAGTGTCCTCACATCTTCATACCCTTGCACATGCGGCCTGTTGGTTGGAGGCCTTTCTTCTCTGCAGCCCCTCCGCCTGCATTCGGAGAAAGTGCAGCTCATCCCTAAGTTCCCCACCCTTGAGTATGGGGGTGTGTGCTCCCCGGGGGCATCCTCAGAGCAACTGTGTTATCCCACTGGAGGGCTGGTCACTCCAGCTGCAAGCATCTCAGAAACCCTTTCTCAGATCCCTTTCTCATGAACTCTTGGCTCTGTCTCACGTTGCCTGGAGGCACCTTAGGATCTCTCGAAGGCCGGATCACAGGCCTGGCCATGGGGCTGGGCAGAGCCCCTGAGGTGGTGCACCGGGGGCAGACTGCTGCCTTGGGAGCCATTCCCGTGGACACAGGCCATGTCACCACACTCACAGGGAGAGATGGGTGGCCCACGAAGCAGGGAGCAGGCCTGGAGGAGCTTGATCCCTCTTTCACTCCGGGAGCACCTCAGAGTTCAGTGCAGTTCAGTGCAGGTAAGCCCTTCTGCTTGCTTCCGGTGAAGACGTGAACCAGACCTCCTTTCATTGCTTGTGGCCTTACTGTGCTTCGCATGCACTGCCTCTTTTACAGACGGAAGGTTTGTCACAACCGTGTGCTGAGCAGGTCCTGTCTGTGCTGCTTTTCCAGCCACGTGGGCTCCCCTCATGTCTGCATCACGTGTCGGTCATTCCTGCAGTGTTTCAAGCCGTTTCATTATTATACTTGTGACCGTGATCTCTGATCTCCGATGTTACTGTCGTCCTTGTCTGGGGGCACCACACGCAGCACTCACATAAGATGGTGGACGTAATCAGTGCGTGTTGTGTGTGTTCTCACTGCTTCACCCACCGGCTGTTTCCCTCTTTCTCCTCCTTGGACCTCCCTGTTCCCTGAGACGCAACAATATGGCAGTTAGGCTAAATAATGACCCTGTAATGGCCTCTAAGTGCTCAAGTGAAAAGAGTCACACATAACTCACTTGAAATGAAAAGCTAGAAATGATTAAGCTTAGTGAGGAAGGGATGTCTGAAGCCGAGATAGGCCGAAAGGTAGGCCTCTTGTGCCAAACAGCCACATTGCAAATATGAAGGAAAAGTTCTGAAGGAAGTTGAGAGCGCTACTCCAGGGACCCCATGAATGGTAAGAAAGCCAAACGGCCTCATTGCTGATAGGGAGAAAATTTGGGTTGTCTGATAGGAGATCAGACCCACCCCAGTATTCCCTTAAGCCAAAGCCTAATCCAGAGCAAGGCCCTGACTCTCAAGTCCACGAAGGCTGAGGGAGGTGAGGAAGCCGCAGAAGAAAAGTCTGCAGCTAGCAGAGTGGGTTCGTGAGCTTTAAGGAGACACAGAGGGGTGGGGGGAGCAGCACGTGCTGATGGAGAAGCTGCAGCAGGTTCTGCCGGAGATCCAGCTCGGATCGCCCCAGAGGTGGCTCCTAAACAGCAGATTCTCCACATGTAGACGCAACGGCCTTATCTGGGGAGAAGATGCCATCTTGGACTGTCCTCGCCGGAGAACAAATCAGTGCCTGGCTTCAGAGGTTCAAGGGATAGGCTGGCTCCCCATTAGGGGCTAATGCAGCTGATGACTTTCAGCTGAAGCCGGTGCTCCTTTACTATTCTGGAAATTCTTAGGACCCTTAAGAATTGTGCTACCTTTCCTGTGCCTGTGCTTTACCCACGGAATGACATAGCCTGGATGGCTGCATATCTGTTCACAGCGAGGTTTACCAAACGTCTCAAGCCCACTGTTGAGACCTACTGCTCAGAAAAAAAGGTTCCTTTCGAAATATGACTGCTCATTGATGTTGTACCCAGTCACCCAAGAGCTCTGGTGATGTACAGCGAGATGAGTGCCGTTTCCCTGCCTGCAAACACAGTGTCTGTTCTGCAGCCCACGGAGCAAGGAGTAATTTTGACTTTGAAGTCTTATCATTTAAGAGACACATTTTGCAAAGGCGGTAGATGGCATCGATGGTGATTCCTCCACTCGATCTGGGTGGGATACATTGAGAATCTTCTGGAAAGGATTCACCATGTCAGACGCCATTAAGAAAATGTTCCCATGGCTCAATGTCAATACTAACATGAGTTTGGAAGAAGTGAGCTCCGGCCCTGGTGAGGACGTTGAGGGGTTCAAGACCAAGTGGAGGAAGTCACTACAGATGTGGTGGAAACAGCCAGAGAACCAGAAGTGGAGCCTGGAGAGGCGAGCGACCTGCTGCCCTCACAGGTGAGGACGTGCTTCTGTGGAGGAGTGAGGACGGTGATTTCTTGAGCTGGAGTCTGCTCCTGGTGACGATGCTGTGGAGATGGTTGAAATCTGACAAGGACTTAGAGCATTGCATGACCTTAGTTGATAAGGTGGCAGGGCTCCTCTCCAGTTTGGAGAGGAGTTCTGCTGTGGGTGAAATGCTACCAGACATCGCTTGCTGCAGAGAAATCATTTGGGAGAGGAAGAGTCCATCAGTGCAACAAATTTATTCTCTTGTTTTAAGAAACTGCCGTAGACACCCCAGCCTTCAGCAACCCTCACTGTGATCACTCAGCTGCCGTCAGCATCGAGGTAAGACCCCTCCAGCAGCAAAAGATCACAGCTTGCTGAAAGCTCAGATGATGGTTAGCAGTAAAGCATTTTTTAATTAAGGCATTCATTGTTTAGGGGTCACCTGATGGTTCAGTCGGTTAAGCGTCTGTCTTCGGTTCGGGTCATGATCTCAGGGTCCTGGAATCTAGCTTCACATCAGGCTCCCTGCTCTGCGGGGAGTCTGCTTCTCCCTCTTCCTCTGCCCTTCCCCCTGCTCCTGCTCTTTCTCGCTCTATCTCTCTCACACTCTTCCTCTCTCAAATAAATAACATCTTTTTTAAAAAAGGTATTCATTGTTTTGTTAGACATAATGCTATTGCACACTTAATGGGTCTCAGTATAGGGCAAACATAACTTTAGTATGCACTGGGAAACCAAAAAATTCGTTTGACTCATTTTATTGTGATAGTCACTGAATTTTGACTGTCTAGACCAAATCCCTGTATCTCTAAGGTGTGCCTCATTACTGGATTGGTTAGAAGATTTTCTTTTCCCCTAGCCTTTCACCTTGGGCTCCGACTTGCCCTCAGGCAGAGCAGGGGAAAGGGGTGGGCTGGCCAGTACTTAGTTGGAACTTAGTGCATGTCCACAGCACCCACCAGTAGGAGGCGCCTACCATTTGTTAAATGGATGACCCATAGCTTTCAGCCTCTAATGGTGCGTCCCCTCCCCTAGGGACCTGTCAAGCACCACTTTCATTCTTTGAAATTATTTCTTATAGTCCGAAGTTGCCTCTTGATAGCCTTTATCAGACCAGGTACCAGAAAGATGACCTTTCTTTTTGCAGACGGATGGTACAAATAAGAACACTCTATGATCTCAGCACTCTCAGGTCAGAGAGGAGGCTCTCAGGCCCGGCTTTGAGCCACCTGTAGGGTATAGCATGTTCCTAGTCAGAAGGAGAGCCCAGGGGCCTCCTTCGTCTGTGGGAGCCAGGTGTGTCAGTCCTCACAGGCTTGCAGAATTCTTTCTAGTATAAATGATTTAAACTGGACCCAGGCCTGATCAGGGAAGGCTTTCGGGAGGACCTGGGACTCACCTGGCATCTTGGCTAGATGGCTAAGATCAGAGCAGAGGGTAAAGGGATCATTCTTTTGGGGGAGACGTGCGCCGTGTGTGCCTACTGGAGAAAGTGAGCAGAGGAGTCCACATAAACCAGAGTGGTCATAAAGACAGGAGGATGGGGCACCTGGGTGGCTCAGTGGGTTAAAGCCTCTGCCTTCGGCTCAGCTCATGATCCCAGCGTCCTGGGATCAAGCCCTGCATCAGGCTCTCTGCTTAGTGGGGAGCCTGCTTCCCTTCCTCTCTCTCTGCCTGTCTCTCTGCCTACTTGTGATCTCTGTCAAATAAATAAATTAAAAAATTAAAAAAAAAAAAAAGAAGGAAGAAGCAAACTTGTTGGCTTTCTGT